CTTCAGGACATCTACACACTGGACCCAGACACGATTTCTAGAGGGGAAGTTCCAGGAACAAAGTATCAAGCCATGTTCAGTTACGTTGGGATGGACCCTACAATGAAGGAGATTATTATCCTACTGTGCTCTGGATGAAACAGGTGCTGAAACAGGGTGATGCTGTGGAGGAGGCCACCATAACAAAATTCCTGGTGCTGGACTGCCTCCCAGAGAGGGATGTTTATGAGACCCAGTGTTGTGGGAAGGGCATCAAATTGATGCCCCAGAAGCAGAATAAGCTTTCTGTAGTTACCATCATGGCAACAGGGTACCACACAGCTCCTCATTGTTCCCTTTAAAGAGGAAGATGAGTGGGACAGCCTACATATCGTCAGATACTATAGTGTGATGTTGGATGAAGAAATCGAGAGGATCAGGGCAATCATGAAACCCGAAATTGCACAAGGCACTGCTAATGATCCCAAGACAGGTGCCCTCACTGTTGCCAGCTACAGAGTTCCCTAAAGCTCTTGGCTAGAAGAGGATGATAGCCATGCTGTGGTCTGAGTGAACAGTTGGATACAGCATATCACAGTGTTGACAACGAAGACTGTAGAACTATTGCAGGTCACAGACTGTGGATTAGGAGGGCAGTACAAACCACAATTTGGCTTCTCTAGGAGACCTTCATACTATATGAGTGATGTAGAAGCTGGAGGTGCCAGTGTCTTCCCTGGGAGCTGCAATTGACCTAAGAAGGGCACAGCTGTATTCTTGTACAACCTTTCCCACAGTGAGGAAGGTGATTATCATACAAGACATGTAGCCTGCCCTGTGCTTGTAGGCTGCAAGTGGGTCTCCAATAAGTGGTCCATTGGATGAATGAGGACAAGAGCTCTTGAGGCCATGTGGAACAACAGAAGTTGTTTGAAATCCTTTTCTGCTCGGTTGTTTCCTGGCCCCACAGTCCAAGTCATCTCTAAGTTTAGCATGACAGATTTCCTTTCTCATTAGCATTAGCCACCAACACCCGTGGCTCCCAGTCCCCCTGGCTCATGTGTTCTCCCTGTGTATACCCACTGCACAGCTAGCTGTCCTGACCAGCACTGGCAAACCTTCAGTGCACACAGGTTGCTTCTTTTTCCCTTTACCAAATATCCATTCAATTTCTTTTTCTTTTTCCTTTCTTTCTTTCTTTTTTTTTTTTTTTTTTTTTTTTTTTTTTTTTTTTTTTTTTTTGAGCATTTGCTTAGAATCCACAGGTTGGGTAACATCTGGACAAGTCAGACTGGAGCCTGTCTCTCAACTTGATTTGGAGGTACACATGTGACACCTGCTGGCCAAATATCGTCATTGCAATATAAAGTCAATTGAACAAACCAGCAAGCATCCACATCTCTCCTGACTGGTTACTTAAGACACTAAGACAAAAGGACGATCTTCCAAGGGATTATTTAAGGTATATTACTTTTTTTTTCATTTTAAGCTGACATTTTTAACCAATTTTAAACTACAAATTGGAATTCTAGAAGAGGTATGCGACCTACCTAGGACTATACATTTTTAGCCATAGCTGCTATTAGTTTGATAATTCATATTATATCCTTAAAGAAATGGTTTGATAACAGACCACAAAAGAGAAACTTATAGAAATGATACAGACTTTACAGACTGGTAATGAGAGGTTAGATGAAAGAATTCATACCATTGAAAATGAGAATCAAAATTTGACAGGCAAAATTCACTCAGTAGAACATGGAAATAAATCATTATCAGAAAAAGTCTTTCCTTGTCAAAGTGTTATGACACTTTATAGAATGATAATGAGAGGTTAGTTAAAAGGATTCATACCATTGAAAACGACAATCATAATTTGACAAACAAAATTCACTCAATGAAACATGGAAATAAATTATTAACAAAAAATTCTTTCCATCTCAAAGAGTCATGACAAGCTAACAGATAGAACATTGCTTTTGGAAGGCAATCTTCATGCCATCCAAATAATATCTAAGGATGAGAAAATATCATTGATGAAAGAAAATTTAAAACTTATAATCATACACAAATGGTTATGATTCAGAGGCTGATTGATTTAATAAAATTGTTAGAAATATTTACAGGTCAAGAAATTCAAACACTACAAAAAATGATACATTTCAAACTTTAGAACTTGTTAAAACTGATAAACAAGGAGATGAGGTACAAACAAAAGAGAATAGAAAAGACTTAACATCACCAGTACCTCTCAGAGTCAGAGATGACTTACCAAGAGTTTTAGCTACTCTCCCTGCTTTGATCTATCCTGTTACTGTTTCTAAAAAGCCGGCAAATATTAAATATCCAAAAGGATATACCAAATGTAAATGCAAGCATATATATATGTATATATGATATTAAGGAAGCAGTAGTTTCTTTGTCATGCATTTACTGAATGTGAGGCAGTTAGTAAGGACATGGGCTTCAAGAAACAAGACTATGCCACATGATTGGCTTTAATTAGTCTCAGTAGTGTTAGAATATGGTCCACAGCTAAAATGAAAAAGTTATTGGAGAGAGGAAGTTAAGGCCCTTGAACATCAAGGTAGAGTCAAAGGTTTTGAGGCTTCCCAAGATCAAGTTTTTGCCATTATGCTGATGTAAATGATCAGGCTACATAAAATGAACACATCTTGTTCTTATCCCATACAGCAGCTTTGAATGCTTGAGACAAGACTCAGGAACCAGGGAAAAGAATTGAGTAGTATACTGGGTTATACAAGCCCCAAAATAACCCTTTGGTGACTTTTTGCAAAGATTGACTCAGAAGTACAAATAGGGGTAGAAGATGCAGAAGCTAGATGAGAACTCATTGAATCTCTGATTTTTGAAAATGCTAATTTAGAATGCAAAAAGGTACTTGGACCCTTAAAGATTGGATCAGCACCAACGAACAAATGGATCCTGCACACAGCTAATGTTGAGTCATTTGTCTATAACTGAGGCTTGGGTAGGAGAAGAAATTTCCAAAAAGGGGGGGTGACAAAACAAAAACAAACAAACAAACAAACAAAAACCCCACTAAAATACCAAATGTTTTAATTGTGGCAGAATAGGCCATCTGAGAAGAAATTGTTGACATGCCACTCCTAGAAATAATGTTCCTTTTGGGAACGACCCAAACAGAAGGCCCCAACATTCTAGATTATGGAGATGATGTGGCAAATGCCAACATTAGATCAATGGTTGTAGATCAACAAAAGACAAACAAGGCAACACCAAGAAAAAGATAGGGAAAAATGTACCTATGTGTAATAATTCTTAACAGGTCAAGAGATATCAATGGAAGGTCCTCCTACAAGGAATGTTAAATATCCACCTTGTTCCACTATTTTGTACAAAAACTTTGGGAAATAATTCATGTACAGTTTCCACAGTCTATAATTTATCATTATATGGATGATATTTTATTGGCAGATTCAAAGGCAGACACTTTGGAAAAAATGTTCAAAGAAGTAAAAGTTTTGGCTCACTGGGGATTACAAATTGCTCCTGAAAAAAAATACAGAGAGGAGATTTTATTGATTATGTAGGCTATAAAAATTAGACCCCAAAAGTACAGATCAGAAGAGATTGATTGTGGACTCCTAATGATCTTCAAAAATTACTAGAAGAGATTTCGCATCTATAGACCACTATTAGAATAAAAAGACATGAACTGAAAAATTTGAACAAGACCCTAAAAGGGGACAAGGACTTAAATAGTTCAAGAGAATTATCAGCTGAAGTGTAAAAAGAATTGACTTTGATGGAAAAGAAGATATAAGAGATATGGATTATGTGGATCCAAAACTTAACTGCATTCTGGTTATATTACAGGGATTTTGATGCAGAGGGAACATATTATATTGAAATGCTTATTTCTATCACATAAGCAGAAAGAAAAATTAAAGACATATGTAGCAAAGATTTCTGATTTGATTTTAAACGGACCGTTATGACTTCATCAATGGACCCAGTTAAAATTATAATACCTTTAATTAATGAGAAAATTTCCTCTTTATGGAACAGTAGTAGAAATTGACAAAGAACACGACTCTTCTTCCTCTTATTGGTCCACCCTTAGCACCTGAGACCATGCCTTAATGGATCAGTATGCCAAAGGCTATTGGCTGAATGAGTTCCCACAATACCTCTGTACCTTTAGGGCCAGAGTCTCTATGTCCACAGCTGAACCCCACATTCCTGAGCAGCAATAGGGAGGATGTAACCCTAAACTCTGACTGTGTGGTTGATGGGCAGGGTGACCTAAAAAAATGTCACATGTTCTATGAAAGAATGGAAGTAATAGCAGCTTGGTTGCATTGTTCTTGAGGTATCTTTACACAGCACTGTGCACAGCAGTGAGGTTCACAAGTAGTTTTTTTTTTCTTCAAACCATGATGGCATTCTTTAAAAGATGACATTTCCCCTGAGCTTTCCTATATGTTTTGTGAATACACATTGGTGTCAAGGGTGTGTTTGGAGTTGCTGTACAGTGTTTATTGTTACCAGTTCTTTAATGCTTGGTGCCCAGAAATACCAAACATTCACTAGCTTGCTGTCAATTAACTTCTCTCCTGGTCATCTCCACTTTGAAGGGACCTTCAGATAAAGGATGCTTCTGACATCCTTCTCCTTTTCTTGCTCTCCTGCTCATTAGATTTAGAATAGACTCTGGCACATAATAAGTGCTTTGTAGATAAGTAGAGGGGTAGATAAGTAAGTAAGTACAAGAAGACAGGAGCAAAATAAAATTCTAATTTCAGGTGCCTGTATGTCCTTCTGCATTTCCTGATGAAGAATGCAGCAAGATGAACTGCATGATGAGAATGGTGGGGCAGTATGGTAGTGAGAATCAATGCCAACTCCCTAGAGCCGGAACCAGTCCTCATTATCTAACACCAGCTATCTGAAAAAGATTAATGTATTATCTCAATTTATTGTTGTGCTGCATTAGAATGAAAGAGAAAAGCTATCCCAGTATATGTAGCTTTAGTTCATAAAGAACTGGGTGTGAAAAGGGATTTTTTACTTCTCAGAACACAGCAATGCTTAGCAACATGGACATACCTGATGATCAGGACAAAGGGACTGAGGCCAGCATAACTAAGCACTAAAAATGCCTTAATATTGAGTATTGTGGAATCATGTGTCACTATGGAGCCTATGTAGAAGGAGAAAAGGAAATCTGCCCAATAAAAGAAAAGAAAACAGGTCATGAGAGTGAGAACGCTATGGGCAGCTCTGATTTCTGGTCTGGAATTATTTGTGAACCTGGAGCTGCGTAGGTGCAGGACACGTATGTGATGTTTGTACAGATGGAGAGCCATAGACCCACTGCTCCAGCCCATGAGACTCTGAAAAACGATATCACGAAGAGCCATGAGAGAGAGGAACAACCACTTAAATGTGTACTTGGACGGCAACATATAGCAATACCCAGTATACATCCCAACTTCAGACCTGTTCATGCTCCTGGTTGATGTAATATAGTGGAGCAAGTTGGAGCTTATCAGGGAATTAAAGATCCAAAAGAGGAGGAGAAAGGGGAGAACTTGCCATGCAGTCTGTGGTTTGACCTTTCTGCAAAGGGTGGTCCTGTGACTGATGGTGACAGCCTGGACCACACTGAGGAGACAGGTGGTGCAGATGGAGAGACCACGAGCCACCCTTTCTAGATAAATTATAGTTTTACAACCAAAGTCACCTAGGAAGTTTCTAAAATAAAAAATTTTGGCTATGTCTCTGACCCCTATGCAATGAATAATGATTGTGTTAACAAAAGCCAGGTGGATGAGAATAACGTCTATATTTTTTTTCTCAGGACTCATAATAAAAGTATACATATGTCTCACAAATAAAATGATGTTACCTAAAATTCCAAGTCCAGTAAGTGAAATGAAAGTTAATCTCTGGATGAAGTCTCTCCAAATCATCTTCATGATATTTCCACAGCTAGGAAAACCCTTTTGAGAAGCATAAGGAGGTCAACATGATATGGTTCGTGCCTGTGGGCGTTCTCCAGTGAAAAGAACAGTGTATTATGAAAATGCACAGAGTTTTTTGCTCATAGATGCCTGATTTCATTCTTGCCCCTTCTGTTCTTGCTTTTATTGATGCTGATGACAACTGGACATAAACACCATGCTGATGCATTAGCTGCTTTACAGAAGGTTGTTCTTTATCTCCTCCATCTCTAAACTTTTTCCCCATGAGAACATCCAAAGAAAGGGCAACATCATTCAATTTCTAAGCCACGATATTGAGCATCAACTTAGGTGCCTCTCTTCCCAGGTCATTTTTTGCTATCCTTGCAGCAATGTCAAAAGAGTGTATTATTTGTTCAAGTGGTATTGCTTTTCAGGGAAATTCATGTGGCTTTTTTCTTTCTCCAACTCTGAATTGACCTGGGCAATAAATAAAACATAAATTAATTGTGTGGGGCAGTAGCTATCCCATTCACTCACCTTTGATGGGATGGTGTGATTAATTTTTGTTCCCTTTCATCTCCCTCCTGGTATTATATTAAAGGAAACTACCCCCCCTCTTGTGTGTGTTTACTGACCATTCCCTAAGTACGTTCTCCCAAAGAAACATTATGTCTCAATCTCAGTTTGGGCATAGTTTCTTTGGACTTTAAACAAAGACACATTCCATCATTTGGGTTTTTAAGGCTGACCAAATCAGTGACTTTATCAATCAGTAATGTTCTGCCCTATAAATGACAATCAACCTAATACCACATACTAACATGAGTAATCTTACACATGACATCCATTTTTCTGTTTTCTCATTCTGTTCACAGTTAGAATGAGGATTAAGATGTATTCACTTTGCTGCCACTTTTACAAATCATAAGTAGTTTTATGTGGGAAACTCAAGTCTATTTTCTTTGACTCTTTAGTATTCTCTGCTCTTTACCAAATTTATCTCCAGATTGTTTTCAGCTTATTCTAAGGACATGTGACCTGGAATTCACCCTGTGACAAGGGTACAGGTGAAGTTCTCTTTCTGATCCCATTTCAGCCATGATCCTTCATAACTAAGTACTATCCACAGGTCACAAATGTGTCTCCTACAGTTTCCCTGAACCATCCTGACTGCTGTCCATTAGTCTGCTTATATCATCCCCTCTGTGCTTAGAAGATCTGAGAGGTGCTTTAGTACAACAGTTACTTTGGTAAACCATGTTATGGAATGCTCAAAAACAGCCTCTGAATAAATGAATAACCAAGTGTTGTGGTTGTAATATTCTATATAAACCACAGACATGAACTGAAAGAAAAGATGTTCTGTTTTTTTTTTTTTCTTTCCTTAAAGTACTGGGGAGGTCAGCCTAGTTTGGAATACACATCCAGGAATGTTTACTGTACTTTCTTACATACATGGGGGGGGGTAAATTTCCAAGCTCCCAAATATCCAGTGGATATCATAGACTATCTTTAAACACATTCATCAATGTGGATACTTTTTTAGTTGCATTACCTCTGTAATGATCTTTTTATGACTGTCTGTTTTTAAGGGTTTACCTCTGGGTTCTTTGAGATACCAACAATGCACACTGAAATAAGGAAGCTATGACTGTCTCCTGAATAGTCTCACTGCTGCACTGCAAAAATGATATATTTACACCTATTCAAAGAACTGCCAGAGAGACATTTATATGGACATTTCATTCATTTATTGTCTAGTTTTTATGTACACAAATATATTTCCGGGCACCACTTGTGTCCCTGGTGCCTGCAGAGCCCAGAATAAGGCACTGGATCCCCTGAAAATGGAGTTGCAGATGGTTGTTAGCTTTGATGTGGGTGCTGTGAATTGCAAGAGCAGCAAGTGATCTTAACCACTGAGCATATTCTTCAAACATATATGTCAATTTAATAAGCGTCCACAGGCTCCTTACCTCCACCATGCTGCAATCAATCATGCCAGTCTGTGTGCATCCAGGTAAATGAGGGCTTTTTGCTGCAGTGATGTGGTGGAGGGTCATGAATATTCTAGGACATTGGAGGAATATCAAATCTTTAGAAATAGACAGGTCAGGATTTATGAGAACCTGCTTTATGACCACCCACTGTGAACTAAAATTCTGGCTTGCCCAATTCATATATTCATCATGTGGAGCATATTATCTGGCTTCTTTAAAAAGTATTTTTCATATGTAAATTACATTTTGTGCAACATAGATGTATTTTAGGGAGTCCATGAACTGACATGCATAGTGGCTAGGGATGTGCCCAGCATGCTTTAAATATCCATTTTTTAAAATCTGTTGTCAGTGTTAGCTTGTAGCCTCATGTCTGCTTTGTTCACAATTCTTGTATCCTGTGGTTTACATTGGATCTAGGGAATGCAAAATTCACAGTAAATTATGTCATGGTAAAGATAGAAAGAGCGCTCTTTCTACAGGCAAAAGCCTGTAGTCAGTAGAAGTTATACAGCTCAGATCAGAGTTCCCAATCCTTGGACGGAAAAACACACGAAAGTTGTGCAGAAGCTGTGGGAACAAGAACTTCCTATCCCAGGCTGCAAAGCAGGTGCCCCTGTCTCCTGCCCCTGCCTGTCCTGTAATGAGCAGTGCTGGTCCAGTGACCACACACACTGTCCACATGGGTACTGAAGCCCTTCCGGATTGCAGGTAGGAAATGATAGACCATCTCCCTGAATCCTGCCACTTTCCTCTTCCAGAGTGACAGGGAGCCCACATCCTAGTCTCCTACATCTCAGCCTCCCAAAGATTTTTTTCAGTACCAAAGGCAGCTCCAACCCATGGTGTGGCAGCACTCACCCATGCAGTCTGTGCAGCAGCTCAGGGTGGATGTCCTCACAGCACCAGCCAGGCCCTGTTTATCAACCTGAGACTTTAACTCAAACAAGATGTCAGGATGTCATCATTGGGAATTTGGCTTCATCAGGGGAAAAAGCTCCTTCCGAGTCTCCATCCCTAAGAACAGCTGCCATGCCATCTCCCTGGTGCTCTATGATTTGCTGAACCCAGAAACTTTTTGATTATAATTATGGTCTCTGTGCATAAGGAGAAATAGGGATCCGGGCTTTTGAACTTAATTCCTATCTGTTCCCTTGCCTCAGTTTACCCCCTTAACCAAGAACTGCTTTGGAAGAAATATCTGATAATCCAAAGTGGCCACTCTATGAATACTTTTCAAGCATATTCTTTATTAATAATAAAAGATGATTGAGTACTGCAGGCAAGGGCTCTCTTCAGTATCATGTTTAGGACACAGGAGACTGTGGGAACTGCTGTGCTCACAGTATGAGTTTGAATGCCTGCTGCATGCTTCACAGACAGTTCTGAGTGTTTTTTTTTTCTTTTGTGTGTGTGCTATTCTCTTTTTATCACTTAAAAATTTCATATATTTTGCTCATGTCATTCCATTCTCCCAACTTTCTGCATTCTTCACACTTCACTATGCATCTCACTTTATCTTTGCTCTCTCCCACAAAAAGAATAAAACAAAACAAAACCCCAAAGAAAATGGAAAGGATCAAACAAAAAACTAAAAGAAAACAACATGACAACATGAAACAAAAATCCCACAAAACAAAAATATGGAGTTCATTTTGTCTTAGATAACTATTTCAAGGCATAGGGCATAGGGCCTATCCTGGATTATGACTGTGTCAGTGACTTTTCAGCGGAGTAAACTGATTGTACATTTTACAAGCAGGTATTAAGTCCAAATACCTTACTGGGTAGGACAGGACCTGTGTCCACTTTATCTCAGCCCTGGGACCCTGTCCAACTTGAACCTGTGCTGGTCTTTGGTCTGCTGTTGCAGCCTCTGTGAGCTTATGTGCATCGATTCTGTTGTGTCTGATGACACTGCTGCCCTGACTTGTCAATCATCACCTCTGGCTCTCTCAGTCTTTCTGATTTCACTTCTGAATAAATCCCTGAGCCTTGAGGGAAGGGAGTTGATGAAAGCATCCCATTTAGACCAAGTGTCCCACTCTCTGCATGTTGTCTACTTGTGAGTCTGTGTTAATTCTCATCAATTGAAACAAGGTTCTCTGATGAGGGTTAAGCAACACACTGACCTATGGGTATAGTAATATCTCATTAGGAGACAATTTATTACTATGTTCCTTTAGCAGAATAGTGGTAGATTTTCCCATAGGCACGTGACCCATCTAGTCTCAAGTTCTTGGCCTCTTTAGCAGTGTCAGGTGTGGGCTCCATCTCATGCGATGGACCTTAAACTCAAATGGAACACGGTCAATTCCTCCCATAACATTCTTGGCACTATTGCACCACTATATATTGCAAGCCAGGCCTTGTTGTAGGGGTATAGGGGTGGCGACTCCATTTAAATTACCTTTATATAAGTATATGTTTTAGGAAGCTTCTGTTGTAGTAGGTTTTTAAACAGCTTTTCAGAATGTCTTTAGTGTTAATATTCAGGCAACTGTACTAGCCTGTCCTTAGGGTTCTGACAGGATATGTCCTCAGCTGAAGCCACTAAGAGCAACACCTGTGCGTATTCACTTCCTTCTCTTTTAAAAGGGCCATGCCCTCCTCCCACTTCCCATCTCTCTCTGTCTCTTTCCTTGTTTCTCTTTTGGCTTCTCTGACTGTGTCCTTGTGTCCCCTTTTCTCTCTGCCTTTCTTCTCTTCTGCTGCTTCTGTCCCTAGAGGCTGGTCTCTTCTTCCACCTTTTTTTCCCCTCATTCTCTTTCCCCTAATTAAAAAACCTTCCATGTGAGATTTGCCACAGGGATTAAGGCAGGGCAGGGTAGGACAGGGCAGAGTAGAGCAGAGGTGTAAGAGCTTCCCCCTGAGCAGGAGCAGAGCTGCTACATTCCTGCAGGGAATCCATCTCCCACTGGAACATCAGGCTTCTGACTGCCAGGACACCATTTCCTTCAAAGCTGCAACACTTACATAGGCTCCTTCTCCAGCACGGTGTCTGCCTGCATATTGCCATGCTACTCGCTATAATGATAATGGACCAAACCTGAACATGTAAGCTAGCCCCAATTACATCGTCACTAGCTTCTGTTTTTTGATGGTTACCTTTACTGCCTAAGCTTGGCTGTCCTGGAACTTGCTCTGCAGACCAGACTGGCCTCAAATTCAGACATCTGCC